ATAATTCAGTGAAGATAGTAACCAAATCCCTTTAAAAGGATTTAAGCAGACATGAAAAGACAGAGAAGCACAACTCACCACTTTGCAATTTTGCATCAAATTGTGTGAGGCAATATGCAGAGAAATGATAAGCAAATGAGTAAAAATAGTAAACAAACAAGGGTACACAGTGTAATTTTTTTTTCTGATAAAACTAGCCAAAGTAATCCCAATATGAAATTCTTCAGGTGCCTTAATGGAACTATACAGGTAAGCTTGAAAGTGAGCGGTGCTGAATGACCCAGTGATAATCTGATTAGTACAAAAATATGTCAGTCATGGAAAAATACACCTGTTTTGGCTGTTAATGTTCGTGAATTTCCCTTTAACAAAATAAAAAATCGATGCATTTTAATATTAACATAAATTAATTTTCTTCTTGAGTAGATAAATTCTTAATCCAAAGTCACATTGTGAATAAAATATAACATTAAAGAATACAGTAGAGAAGCTTATTTGTTTCAAGAATAAAACAATCTATTACTTTCTTAATTGTTTGTACACCACCATTCTTTTAAGAGAAACTTTACACAACTTAAATATATTCATTTCAAGGTGTTTACTGGTGTAATGTTGGAGTTCAGGGTGCCCTCAGCTCCGCTGAGAGAACATTTCTCCAGGTTCGTGGTCTCTTGCACTCTCAAGAATAAGGGAGAGAGGATCACAGCACAGTGCACAGTAAATGCCAGACTCAAAAGTGTTTGTAGAAAGTGATTTATTTAAAGAGAGAAAAAGGAGGAGGAGAGAGAAACAGCTAACTGTCACACTGAGTGAGAGAAAGAAAAGCCACTCTCACACTGAGTGAGAAGGGTTCCCAGACGGGGGAAACCAGAGAAGGAAAGCTCCTCTCACACCGAGTGAGAGAATCCAGAAAGATGGAACCCAGGAGAGGAAAGCAGCTTCCACACTGAGTGGAAAGGAATAGATAGAGAGATGGGGTTTAGGAGGAGAAGATAGGCTTCCACGAGAGAGTGTGGAAGGGGACTCCAGAGAAGAAATGCAGGAGAGAGAAAGATGGTTTCTACAAAGAGAGTGTTCATAGAAGGGGATCCAAACATAGAGTCTGAAAAGGTGTGGAAGAAGAGGACTTTTAACCTGGGAGGAACCCCCACCTTTTCTAAGGCCCCTGGCCAATGAAAGGAGTTCCTTAGAACTTCCATAGCAGTGATTTACTCTTAGTCTCTTCTCTCGCCCATGAAATTCAAACATAAACCATTAAATCTCCTGGATGGAGAGAGTTGGGAGGGAGGCATGGCACTAGGTTGTGGACCTGGAAAGAGAACACATTCCCTCACTGGGATATTCTTTAAAATGTTACACTGAGCTCAAAATATGTCTTTAAATGTAATTTACCTACATAAACATCACATTATACAGCATGAGAAGAGATGAAAATATGTGGTATATTCAGACAATTGACTATTTTATTTGCTAAAAAGAAAAGATAAATTTTTGATATTCTTCATACCATTAATGAATATTCCAAACTCAAGCTGGGTTAAAAAAAAAAAAACAAAACTGGAACCAGAAGATTCCATATGGTACGCTTCTGAGGAATATGAGCATGGGTTGGCAGGCAAGGACAGGAGAGGATTGTTTTGTGGGAAAGAAGTAGTTGGGCTGCTCTTGTATATGTCACTACTTCAGCGGCCCTGCCTGGCTTCCTAGCAGTGGCCTAGCAGTAAACTAAAAAAAAATCTAAAAATATTCAGACTAGAATAATGAACCCATTGAAATACCATCAGAAGACGATGGAATGATGCTTCTGCCCATGGCTACAGTTCAGTTTCCAGAGGTATGTGGGCTTCCCTACAGGATTCATATGTCTTGGGATATTAGCGATATCTGGCTGGTAGAAGGAATTCTGCATGTTCCCAATGCTGGCTGGGGAAATTTGGCATATGTTGTCAACTATCCCAAAGATAACTAAAGAAGAAGCGATAAGACTGATGCTTCATTAGCCATAAAAGTGAAAAGAGCAGTCCAGAAAACATCTGACTTAGTAGAGTTGGGTCTCCCATGGAAAACAACTGAACAGGATCTGAAAGAATATTTCAGTACCTTCACAGAAATTCTTATGGTGCTGGTCACGAAGGATGCTAGCATAACTATTCAAAGGGGTTTGGCTTTGTTCATTTTATAAAATATGAAACCCAGGTGAAGGAATGTCATAGCAACATAAGACAGATGGATGATGGGGTGACTGTACACTTCCTAATTCTAAGAAACCACTGAATGAAACTTCGAGAAGTGAAAGGATATTTATGGGGTGTTGTACAGAGAACATGAATTCTGATAAGCTGCACTATTTTTTTGTCAGGGCAGAGAAGTTGTAGATGTCTTCATTCCCAAACCATTCAGGGCCTTTGCCCTTGTTACATTGCAGATTAATAGCTTGCCCAGTCTCTTTGTGAAGAGAACTCGATTATTAAAGGAATCAGTATACATATATCCAATGCAAGCATAAGCACAATAGCAATAAACAGAAAGAGATGTAAGATTTAGTGGTAATCCAGGTAGCTTTGGAAATCAGAGTGGGTTTGGTAACTGTAGTTGGAGTCGACCTAACCTGAGAAACAATCACAGTAGTAACATAGAGGATGGAATGAACTGCAGGGTCAGGCAGCAATTTTAATTGAGACTTTAGCTCAAGCATGGATACTAAGTCTTCTGGCTGGAAAATGCAGAGAGTGGGGTTATGGTTGATTGGAATAGAATAGTGGGATTACCAATTTTTCTAAATTCATGTTTAAGTATGCATAAAATACATATGCACTAAAAACTTTCCAAATTGGTTTGTTCAATGTGGAGTATATTCAGTGTATTTTTAACATTATTCTTAAAAATAAATGGAAAAGCTAGTGGGATTTTATAAGTTTTTTCACAACAAGTGTTGAAATAGTGAGTGGTTGAAAGTGAACTGTTGTTAGCCTAATTCGATAAATCAACAGTATACAATAGATACCAAAAGGATTCCTCTGTAATATTTTATCCCTGAATGTGTCAACTCTTTGCACATTCAAAATGGACCATTGATTAAATTAGATTCTTTTCTTCTTGTTTTAATCCCCACCATATGAATTTTTTTTCCTTAAGAAAACTCTTTTGGAGACATCATGGTGTCAAGTGTTTAGTTCTTTCATTTTTGTTTTTTAACACTTGTTTCCTTCTAATATGGTTTGGCTGTGTCCCCACCCAAATCCCATCTTGAATTGTACATCCCTTAATTTCCACATGTTGTGGGAGGCACTCAGCAGGAGATAATTCAATCGTGGGAGCAGTTTCCTCATACTGTTCTCAAGGTAGTGATAAGTCTCACCGGATGTGATGGTTTTATAAGGGGAAACCCCTTTTGCTTGCTTTCATTCTTTCTTGCTACTGCCCTGTAACAAGAGCCTTTAACCTTCTGCTGTGATTGTGAGATCTTGCCAGCCACATGGAATTGTGAGTCCATTAAACCTCTTTTTCTTTATAAAATACCCAGTTTTGGGTATGTCTTTATCAACAGCCTGAAAACAGACTAATAGAGTAAATTGGTACTAGTAGAGAGAGGTGATTCTGTGAAGATACCCAGAATTGTGGCAACAATGTTGGAACAGGGTAACAGGCAGAGGTTGGAATAGTTTGGAGGGCTCAGAAGAAAACAGTAAAATGAGGGAAAGTTTGAAACTTCCTAGAGACTTGTTTAATGGCTTTGACCAAAATACCGATAATGAGATGGACAATGTAATCCAGGCTGATGTGGTCTCAGATGGCGATGAGGAACTTGTCAGGAAGTGGAGTAAAGGTGACTCTTGCTATTTTTTAACCAAAAGACTGGTGGCATTTTGCCTCTGCCCTAGAGATTTGTGAAACTTTGAACTTGAGGGAGATGATTTAGGGTATCTGGCAGAAGAAATTTCTAAGCAGCAAAGCATTGAAGAGGTAACTTGTGTGCTGTTAAAAGCGTTAACTTTTAAAAGGGAAACAGAGCATAAAAGTTTGGAAAATCTGCAGCCTGACCATGCAATAAAAAAGAAAAACCCATTTTCTGAGGAGAAATTTAAGTCTACTTCATAAATTTGCATTAAGTAACGAGGAGCCAAATGTTAGTCACCAAGACAATGGGAAAAATGTCTCCAGGGCATTTTACAGCTATTTGTGGCAGCCCCTCCCACAACAGGCCCAGATGCCTAGGAGGAAAGCACAGTTTTGTGGCTGGGCCCAGGACTCCCCTGCTGTGTGTGCTCTATGGGCTTGTTGTCCTGACTCCCAGCCACTCTAGCCATGGCTAAAGGGGGTTAAGATACAGCTCAGGCCGTGGCTTCAGAAGGTGCAAGCCCCAGACCTTGGCAGCGTCCACACAGTGTTGAGCCTGCAGGTACACAGAAGCCAAGAATTGGGGTTTAGAAACCTCCACCTCAATTTCAGAGAATGCCTGGAAACACATTGATGTTCAAGCAGATGTTTGCTACATGGGTGGGGCTCTCATGAAGAACCTCTGCTAGGGCAGTGTTGAAAGGAAATGTGGGGTGGGAGTCTCACACAGAGTCCCTACTGGGGCACTGCCTAGTGGAGCTGTGAGAAGAGGGCCATCATCATTCTGACCCCATAATGGTAGATCCACTGACGGCTTGCATTATGCACCTGGAAAAGCCACAGACATTCAATGCCAGCCTGTGAAAGCAGCCTAGACAGAGGATGTACCCTGCAAAGCCACAGGGGTGGAGCTGACCGAGACCATGGGAACCCGCCTCTTACATCAGCTTGACCTGGATGTGAGACATGGAGTCAAGGAAGATCATTTTGGAGCTTTAAGATTTGACTGCTGGATTTTGGATTTGCATGGGGCCTTTAGCCACTTCATGTTGGCCCATTTTTCCTATTTGGAGAAGGTGTATTTATCCAAATGCCTATACTCCTGTTGTACCTAGGAAGTAACTAACTTGCTTTTGATTTTACAGGCTCATGGGCAGAGGGACTTGCCTTGTCTCAGATGAGACTTTGGACTGTGAACTTTAAGTTAATGCTGAAATGGGTTAAGACTTTGGAGGACTGTTGGGAAGGCATGATTGGTTTTGAAATGTAAGGACAGGAGATTTGAGAGAGGCTAGGTGCAGAATGGTATGATTTGTCTGTGTCTCAACACAAATCTTACCTTGAACTGTAGAACCCACAATTCCCACATGTTGTGGGCAGGACCCAGTGGGAGATTATTGAATTATGGAGGCAGTTTTCCTCATACTATTCTCAAGGTAGTGAATAAGTCTCACCAGATCTGATGGTATTATAAGGGGAAACCTCTTTTGTTTGGCTTCATTCTCTCTTGCTGTCACCATGTAAGAAGCACCTTTCTCTTTCTGCCATGACTGTGAGACATTGCCAGTCACGTGGAACTGTCCATTAAATCTCTTTTTATAAATTACCCAGACTTGGGCATGTCTTTATCAGCAGCATGAAAATGAAATAATACATCCTCATATACAAAAGTTCAATATAAAGCCTTCATTTAATGTCTGCAGTTAATCTCATTTCAGATTTTTCTGGAAGAAGCACTTCATTGAAAGAAGTGCTGTAAATTTTCTGCCACAGGTATACTTCTGTTTACATGGAATGTTTTTCCATCTGTGTGTCCTCTCTTATTCCCTTGAGCAGTGGTTTGTAGTTCTCCTTGAAGAGGTCCTTCACACCTTTGTTACTTGTATTCCTAGGTATTTTATTATCTTTGTAGCAATTGTGAACGGGAGTTCACTCATGATTTCACTCTCTGTTTGCCTGTTATTGGCATATAGGAATGCTTGTGATTTTTCCACATTGATTTTGTATCTGAGACTGCTGAAGTTGTTTATCATCTTAAGGAGATTTGGGACTGAGACAATGGGGGTCTTCTAAACACACAACCATGTCGTCTGCAAATAGAGACAATCTGACTTCCTCTTTTCCTAATTGAATACGCTTTATTTCTTTTTCTTGTCTGATTGTTCTGGCTAGAACTTCCAATACCATGTTGAATAGGAATGGTGAGAGAGGGCACTCTTGTCTAGTGCCAGTTTTCAATGTGCTTCCAGTTTTTGCCCATTCAGTTTCATATTGGCTGTGGTTTTGTTATACATAGCTCTTATTACCTTGAGATACATTCCATCAATACCTAGTTTATTGAGAGTTTTTAGCATGAAGGGTGTTAAATTTTGTCAAAGGCCTTTTCTTCATCTATTGAGATAATCATGTGGTTTTTGCCATTGGTTCTGTTTATGTGATGGATTACCTTTATTTATTGGGGTATGCTGAACAAGCCTTGCATCTCAGGGATGAAGACTACTTGATCGTGGCAGAGAAGCTTTTTGATGTGCTGCTGGATTCTGTTTGCCAGTATTTTATTGAGAATTTTTGCATTGATGTTCATCAGGGATATTGGCCTGAGATTTTGTTGTTGTTGTGTCTCTGCCATGTTTTGGTATCAGGAAGATGATGGCCTCATAAAATGTGTCAAGGAAGAGTCCTTCTTTTTCTCTTGCTTGGAATAATTTTAGAAGGAATGGTCCAGATCTGCTTTATACCTCTGGTAGAATTTGGCTGTGAATCCATCTAGTCCTGGGCTTTTTTCGTTGGTAGGCTATTAATTACTGCCTCAATTTCACAACTTGTCATTGGTGATTCCACTTCTTTATGTTTAAGTCTTAGAGTGTTTGTGTCCAGGAATTTATTGATTTCTCCTAGATTTTCTAGTTTATTTGCATAGAGGTGTTTATAGTATTTCTGATGGTAGTTTGTATTTCTGTGGACTCAGTGGTGATCTCCCCTTTATCATTTTTTATTGTGTCTATTTGATTCTTTTCTTTTCTTCTTTATCTAGCTAGTGGTCTATTTTGTTAATCTTTTCACAAAAACAGATCCTAGATTCATTGATTTTTTGAGGTCTTTCCTGTCTCTAGCTCCTTCATTTCTGCTCTGATCTTAGTTATTTATTGTCTTCTGCTAGCTTTTGAATTTTTTTGCTCTTGCTTTTCTAGTTCTCTTAATTATGATGTTAGAGTGTTGATTTTAGATTTTTTCTGCTTTCTCCTATGGGCTTTTAGTGCTATAAATTTCGCTCTAAACACTGCTTTAGCTATGGCCCAGAGATTCCAGTATGTTGTGTCTTTGTCTTCATTAGTTTCAAAGAACTTATTTATTTCTGACTTAATTTTATTATTTACCCAGTAGTCATTCAGGAGCAGATTGTTCAGTTTCCATGTAGTGGTGTGGTTTTGAGTCAGTTTCTTAATCCTGTTTTCTAATATGATTGCACTGGGGTCTGAAATACTGTATGTTATGTTTTCTGCTCTTTTTCATTTGCTGAGGAGTGTTTGACTTCCAATTATGTGCTAATTTTAAAATAAGTGCAATATTATGCTAAGAAGAATGTATAGCCTGTTGATTTGGGGTGGAACATTCTGTAGATGTCTATTAGGTCCACTTAGTCCAGAGCTGAGTTCACTGGGGTATTAAAGTCTCCAACTATTATTGTTTGGGAGTCAAAGTCTCTTTATAGATTCTAAGAACTTGTTTTATGAATCTAGATGCTCTTATATTGGGTGCATATATATTTAGGATAGTTAGATCTTCTTGTTTCATTGATCCCTTTACCATTATGTAATACACTTCCTTTTAAAAAAAATCTTTGCTGGTTTAAAGTCTGTTTTATCAGAGTCTAGGATTGCAACCTTCTTTTTTTGTTGTTTTTCATTTGCTTTGTAAATATTCCTTCATCTCTTTATTTTGAGCCTATATGTCTCTTGGCATGTGAAATGGGTCTCCTGAACATAGCACACTGATGGGCCTTGACTCTTTATCCAATTTTCCCAGTCTGTGTTTTTTAATTGGGGCATTTAGCCCATTTAGATTTTAGTTTAATATTGTTATGTGTTATTTTGTTACTGTCATTATGATGCTAGCTGTTCATTTTGCCCATTAGTTGATGCAGTTTCTTCACAGTGTTGATGACCTTTACAATTTGGAATGTTTTTGCAGTGGCTGGTACTGGTTTTTCCTTTTCATATTTAGTTCTTCTTTCTGGAGCTCTTGTAAGGCAGGCCTGGTGGTGACAAAATCTCTCACCATTTGTTTGTTTGTTAAGGATTTTATTTCTTCTTCACTTATGAAGCTTAGTTTGACTGGATGTGAAATCCTGGGTTGAAAATTTTATTCTTTAAGAATTTTTAATATTGGCCTCATTCTCTTCTGGCTAGTAGGGTTTTCTGCAGAGAGATTCTCTGTTAGTCTAATGGGATTCCCTTTGTGAGAACCCAACATTTCTCTCTGGATGTGCTTAACATTTTTTTCTTAATTTTGACCCTGGTGAATCTGATGATTATGTGTCTTGGGGTTGCTCTTCCCAAGGAATATCTTTGTGGTGTCCTCTGTGTTTCCTAAATTTGAGTGTTCTCCTGTCTTTTTAGGTTGGGGAAGTTCTCCTGAATAATATCCTGAAGAGTGTTTTCCAGCTTGGTTCTATTCTCTCTGTCACTGTTCTCTACACCAATCAAATGTAGGTTTGGCCTTTTCACATCATCCCATATTTCTTGGAGTCTTTGTTTGTTCCTTTTCATTCTTTTACCCCTAATCTTTTCTTTACACTCATTTCATTAAGTTGATTTTCAGTCTCTGATGTTTTTTCTTTTCCTTGATTGATTCAGCTATTGATAGTTATGTGTGCTTTATGAAGTCTGTGTACTGTGTTTTTCAGCTCCATCAGGTCATTTATGTTCTTCACTATACTGGTTATTCTAGTTAGCAATTCATTTAACCTTCTTTCAAGGTTAGAACATGCTCCTTTAGCTCAGATAAGTTTCTTGTTACCCACCTTCTGAAGCCTACTTGTGTCAATTCATCAAGCTCATTCTTCATCCAGATTTTTTCCCTTGCTGGCAAGGAGTTGTGATCCTTTGGAGGAGAAGAGGTGTTCTGGTTTTTAGAATTTTCAGACTTTTTGCACTGGTTTCTCCCCATCTTCATGGTTTTTATCTACCTTTGGTCTTTGATGTTGGACCTTTGGATGGGGTTTATGTGTGGATTTTGTTGTTTTTGTTGTTGCTGTTGATGTTGATGCTACTCCTTTCTGTTTGTCAGTTTTCCTTCCAGCAGGCAGGCCCCTCTGCTGTAGGTCTGCTGGAGTTTGCTGGAGGTCTATTCCAGACCTTGTTTGCCTAGGTTACACCAGCAGAGGCTGCCGAACAGCAAAGATTGGTGCCTGTTCTTTCCTCTGGGAACTTCATCCCAGAGAGGAACCTGTCAGATGACAGCCAGAGTTCCCCTGTATAAAGTGTCTGTTGACCCTTGCTGGAAAGTTTCTCCCAGTTAGGAGGCACAGTTGTCAGGGACTCACTTGAGGAGACAGGCTGTCCCTTAGCAAAGCTCAAGTGCTGTGCTGGGAGATCCATTCCTCTCTTAAGAGCCAGCAGGCAGGAACATTGATATCTGCTGAAGCTTTGCCCACAGTTGCCCCTTCTCTCAGGTTTTCTATCCCAGGGAGATGGGAGTTTTATTTATAAGTCCCTGACTGGGGCTGATGCTTTTGTTTCGAAGATGCCCTGCCCAGAGAGGAGGAATCTAGAGAAGCATTCTGACTACAGCCTCTTTGCAGAGCTGTGGTGGGCTCCACCCAGTTCAAAATTCCTGGTGACTTTGTTTACACTGTGAGGAGAAAACCATCTATTCAAGCCTCAGCTATGGTGGATGTCCCTCCCCCTACCAAGCTCAAGCAACACAGGCTGACTTCAGACTGCTGTGCTGGCAGCAAGAATTTCCAGCCAGTAGATCTTAGATTGCTGGGCTCTGTGGAGGTGGGATCCACTGAGCTAGACCACTTGGCTCTCTGACTTCAGCCTCCTTTCTGGGGGAATGAACAGTTCTCTCACTGGCTTTCCAGGTATCACTGGGTTATGAAAAAAAACTCCTGCAGCTAGCTGGGTGTCTGTCCAAAGGCCACCCAGTTTTGTGCTTGAAACCCAGGGCCACAGTGGTGTAGGCACCTGAGGGAATCTCCAGGTCTGTGGTTTTCGAAGACCATGGGAAAAGCATAGTATTTAGGCTGGATAGCACCATTCTTCCTGGCACAGTCCCTCAAGACTTCCCTTGGCTAAGTAAGGGAGTTCCTTGACCCTTTGTGCTTCCAGGGCGGGGTGATGCCCCACCCTGTTTCAGCTCACACTTCATGGACTGGGCCCACTGTCTAAGGAGTCCCAAAGAGAAGAGCCAGGTACCTCAGTTGGAAATGCAGAAATCAGCCATCTTCTGTGTTGATTCGCTGGGAGCTGCAGACCAGAGCTCTTCCTATTCGGCCATCTTACAAGCCACCTGAATTTAAAAAATTTTTAAGTTTAAGAAAACTTGTTATCTAGAATTAAAAATAAAAAATAATCTTTTATTTTAGATCATTCATTAGGACAATTTAATCACTGCATTTGGCATGCCAGTTGCTCACTAAATATTTATGAATAAATCCATGAATCAATTATTACAGTGAATTGAAGAGGTGACTTTTCTGAACATTACCACTTTCATGAAACTTATGATATTCCAAAATTTTACTCGGTTAACTTAATTTCATTGTGAATAGCTCCCTACTATTGCATTTTACAAAACAAGATATAGATTACTTTATACTACTTGGCTATAATTTTCCACTTAACCCGTCTTTCTTTATTGATTATTTTAATCTTAAATGATTTATATCAGTTTCCCAAATACATGAATTTCACAATTATAATGCTTGGAATTACCCTCTTTTTTTAATCCTCCCTTTTCTTCATGGAGCTATGTATAAACTACATTGCTAAAACCCATTGCATATATTGTTCATTTTTTAAAAATATTGCATGAATAACTGCATGTTCATTTTTAAATTTACTTCTTCTTCAATTGTATCATTGAATTCTTGACCAAATATTTTAAACTCTAGAGAAATATTGTATATTCATTTATTCAACTACTTTTCAGAAGCATCTGTCTCAGCAACTTAGTCAGACATGCCATAATAAGGCCTGTCCTCTATTACCTATGCAATTACCTATGCTTGCATTTTTTCAAAGAAGTTTCATAGTGAAAATTATTCTCTTTTATGGCATTAGGGCTACAAGTGGCAACAGATGCACTCACATGTAATGAAGCACAAGGCCCCAGTTTGGCATTGCTAGTCAAGCGTTTCCACTTACAGGAGATGTCAGTTTTTGCACTCAATAAGCTATCCTGCTAAATTAATCTTTGGTTGGCATTTATGTCTACTTGAAACTAGCTTGCCAATTCCTCAGTATGGCATCATGACAGCCTAACAGATGGGCCAAAGGACAGGCCTGCCAGATGATCTGAATGACATCAGGTTTAAATATTATGGGATGTATTCCTTTATTCAAATACTATAATAATGACCTACATCAAGTATGTATATATTGAAAAAGTGAGAAAATGAGCACCATTTCAGGTTTATATGTATGTATATTTTTAAGTATATGTCAAATTTAAAGATAAATTACAGCCGTAGTTACACCTACGTTCATGCCTGTGCAAATACCAGTTAAATAAAATTAAGGCCAAGCTCAGGATCCCAAGTCCTTAGAATTACAAAAATATTAAAGGCACCTTCCCTTAGGTGAAGCATTGAAATGTCCAAAGTCACCTACCTGGTATATTAATTAATGTTCTTCCCAAATGTCTTATCTCAATACAGACTATATTCTGTTTTTCTTCTTGGACACTGTGCATCTTCTGGCGCCTGATTTACTGCACTCTAGATTATTCACTTTTCCTTACTTCCGAGTACATATCTCTTTCATATTTCTGTCTCTTCATCTAGCTTTTTACCCTTGTGATTACCACAGCCTCTAAGAATACTGATTATTCACGATCGGTCTGTTTGCACTTATTTTAATTTACTGTTATTACTATTTAATATTCTATTGCTTTTGGGTAATAGAAAATTAACTTCCCCTTTGAATTCATGCTCCTAGCTATTGCATCCAGTATATGTCTTTATCTCACTTTTGTTTTTTCTTTTTAAGTTTTGGACCTATTGTTATTTATGTGAAGAAATCTCATATTTTTGTATTTTCCATTCTTAGTGACAACATTAAGAAAATTGTTTTTAATATGTAAGCAGATGAATGCTTCAAGGTTATGTTGTTAAATCTGAGTACTCTTCCAAAATAATAATATTTGCTACTGAGAGGTAGGAGGATTTGAATGATTTATGATTTTACTAGGTTTTTCCAATGCAGTTAAAATAGAAATCTAAGGCAATTAAACAATTTGGAATCAAAAGCATTTCCAATAAAACATGACTTTGCATAATCATATATATATATATATATATATATATATATATATAATATAAATGTTTCATTGCCCCATTTCTTCTCAACATTAAACTTGGATTTCCACTGTATTTACATAACATTGTTTAATTTAATTGTAAAGAAATTTACATTATAACTTAATCTAGCACTTTACTTTTAAGAAGCTAACGTTGCGTGTCATTTTATAGGTTATATAAATAATCTCAGAGAGCTTAAATGTTTCTTGTAGGGTCACCCAAGGAGCACCTTAAGAAAGGCTGTCATCCATTCTTTACATGTTCTGTAAATTCCTTCCAGCGTACTTCTAAATACAGCTCATATTTAAATAAATATTTTCATAGGTATTAGTCAACTTTCATTAACTATATTAAATTCTCAAATTGCCCAATTGTCTGGCAACTAATTATGGTTTGATGAAAAACTACAACATTTTTCTTTAAAGATTATTTAAAATAATATTTAAGTGGTAAAATTAATTAATTATATTAGCATCAATTTAAAGCATAGTTCACTACTGTGCTTTAATTATTAATTACAAGTTTGAAGAGATAATTATTAATAGAATTAGTCAAATGTAGTTTGGTTTTGTTGGGCTCTTGATTCTATCTCCAGGATTAATTATTTCTTTTTGTAAACCTCTAAAATCTTTAGTTCTTCAACTTTTCCTCTTGAATTATGCCTCCCTGAAAAATGAATAGGAAATCTCTCACACATTATGCCAGGTTGAACTCAGTGTTCTCAGCCACCAAAGTAAACGTCCTCATTGGTGAGTGTAACATTCCAAAAATAGAATGTATGCATCTTAAGCTCCGTAGGATTCTCAGTCAATGGCTTTGCCTCGGGGCCCCACATCTGCCAATCCTGGATCAAAAATATCAAGGGCAAAAGAAGGGGAAGTATATTAGAGAAGGGAGTGATTCACTGACCTTTCAAATAAAGTTAACTAAAAAAATAGAGAAGAAAACCTATAAGTACAAAAAGAAATGTTCTAATATGGTATCTGCAATAGTTTCTAGAAATATATAATATTACTTGATTCTAAAAAACTCTGCTTAATGCTGTGTGAATTTCATTTTCTTTTATTTTTTGCCTGGAAGGCAAGATATGTTTCTTTGAGATAAACCCTAACTTGGAAAAGAATCTGTAAATGTTCATAAAATGCTGTATTAAGTGACTGCAGAGTTTACAAATATATTTGATAATTTGGGAAAGTCACCTTCAGATGAATGATTGGTACTGCTTAACTGGAAATAGAAAATCCCATTGTTAAAATTGTGAGTTTTTGCATGTGTTTGGTCTATGTGTCTCCTGATCAGAATCTTCATGTTTTCGTCAGCTTGTAATTTCTCACTTTCCTCACTTGAATAAGATGTAGCTTTTAGCAGTAAAATTGTACACACAATAATATATTATTACAATCAGCAGAACATTTTACTGGAAAATGACTTTAAACAATTATATTAATTTTTCATATTGATTAAATATGCTTAATCAACAGTTAACTTTCTTATCATATAATAAATGTTCCCTTTTATGACAATTCCATTTTGCATTTCACATGTGATTTCTTGATTTTTGACATTTGCCATTGCTTTAATTAGTATTATTTTTATGGCTTTTTTTTTTTTTTTTTTGTATTTCAAGAGTAATATCCCTGTCTTTCAGAAAAGGATTTTTT